CAAGATTTTGGCTGACTTCAAGATTTTAGCTATCCAAAATCTTGAATTCAAGATTTTGGCTGACTTCAAGATTTTGGCTTTTTTCAAGACTTTTAGCTTTCCAAAATCTTGAATTAAAGATTTTGGCTGACTTCAAGATTTTGGCCTTTTTGATGAAGATTTTAGCTTTCCAAAATCCTGAATTCAAGATTTTTGCTGACTTCAATATTTTAGCTTTCGAAAATCCTGAATTCAAGATTTCAGCTTTTTTAAAGATTTTAGCTTTCCAAAATCTTGAATTCACCTTTTTGCTTGACTTCAAGATTTTGGCTTTGGTCAAGATTTTAGCTTTTCAAAATCTTGAATTCAAGATTTTCATTGACTTCAAGATTTTGGCTTTTTTCAAGATTTTTAGCTTTCCAAAATCTTGAATTCAAGATTTTGGCTGACTTTAAGATTTTACCTTTCCAAAATCCTGAATTCAAGATTTTGGCTGACGTCAAGATTTAAGCTTTCCAAAATCTTGAATTCAAGATTTTGGCTTACTTCAAGATTTTTAGCTTACTTCAAGACTTTACCTTTCCAAAATCCTGAATTCAAGATTTTGGCTGACTTTAATATTTTAGCTTCCCAAAATCCTAAATTCAAGATTTTAGCTTTCCAAAATCTTGAACTCAACATTTTGCCTGAGTTCAAGATGTTGGATTTTTTCAAGATTTTAGCTTTCCAAAATCCTGAATTCAAGATTTTGGCTTTGATTTTGGCATGTGGCACAATGACGTGGACAAATGTTTTGCAATTGTGCGATAATAACATAAATTATAATGACAATGATGATGATGATGGAATAATGATTGTCTGATTATGATAATGATTGTGGCACCGTGTTGCACTCGATGTTTGTGTTTTCTGGTGTTTCGTTTCCCGTGCTACTTGTAAAACTTTCAAAATATTTTGCTTATACAGTCAAGGAAACCTTACTTTTATGGAAAACCCGATAATAGGGATAGCAGTTAAATTCCAATACAATATCCCAACACTACGGACTCTGGTTGTTATGGACACTATCTCATGGTCTTCAGGTTCGATCAGGTGGTCCGCACAGAAAGAGTTGTACTTTCCTACAAAGATCTTGAACACTTTTCTCTGCCCCCATTTGTGAAAATGGTGCTGAAAACCGTTCAGTGGAATGTTAATATTATTTATTATTTTAATTGTTGTTGTTGTTGTTGTTGTTGTTGTCTATGATGATACTTACTATTGGGTTTACTGGTCCTCCGACCATCAATTTCAAGTTTATTACAGAGTGCGACAACTGTTGCTACAAGGTGCGACAGCTCATTTTATTACAAAGTGTACTGGTCTGTTATTACAAAGTGCGATAGCGTTTTTTATTACAAAGATCGACAAGTGTTATTACAAAGTGCGACAATTTTATTAAGTGTGATAGGTATTACAAATCAGAAAAGTGCGACAGAACAGTCTATCGCGAAAAATATCGAAAAATATCGTTCTTCATATTGGCTAAAAAGGGCTGGGTCGTGGCGGTGCGATTTTTTTACTTTGGCATGCCTGTGCGTCGCTTGTTCGAGGATGACCCTATGCGTTAGAAATATACATTTTCTCATTTGCCAAAAAGATTACTATATAATTTCACTTTCTTTTCCTTTCTGTTCTAAACCGATTAAAAAGCTACATAAAACGTATTGAAACTGAGCCATTTTTTACGTCATTCGACAGTATACTTAAGGCGGGGTCTGGTTAAAATTTGGGGGAAATGATGTTGATTTGGGAAAGAAATATATGAGGGAGAATACAAATAAACCGCCAATGGTATCACTGGCATCTTGTTGTGGTGTTGGACTATCTGGTAATTGTCTACTAATTGTCCACTTCATATTTTAATTTTTAAAAACCCGACGGTATTTTAATTGAGTCCTTTTTTGATTGAATGAAATCTTGGCTAGATGTTTAAGAAAAAGGGTGGAAATCAACGAAAAATATTGCTTTTAACCATACTGCCCCCATAAACCAGCCCCCGGCAGTGGATGCAAGGCTGATTATGAGGGCACAAGAAAACAGGAGGCGGAGAGGAAAAAAAGGAAAACCAATATAAGAGAAACATTAGAAGAAGAACGGCATATGAGCAGACAAAGGGGAATGCGAAGATCGGAGGTGCAAGAAATAAAGTAGGAATCGAAATAGATAACTCACACCTTAGTATTTAAAGCGTAGACCTAGCGACGCGCAATGTCATCTCTTAGCATATACCTCATCTGTAGTCTCTGGCACGTCTTTTTAATCAGATTGGGCGCATATTTTGCTTCAGCCTAGTTTATTGTCAATATCTTCGATGGCGATAACAAAGGGATCATTCTCAGCCTTTGCTTTAGACGGCAAAACAGTCCATATTTTTGCTTATTCAAGTACGCGCGAGCAGTCAAACAAAAGGTCTGGAACGAGGCTGAAAACAGAGAGCGAGACTGGGGAGAGACGCTTGTTTTTTTGTTTCGCTCAACCGCGCGCGACTCTTACGCCACGCTTTACCGATTTCTTTACTTATTTTGAGAAAAAACGATTGTTTTGCAGTGTACCTTTGTTTCTGTCACCTGCTTTTTGAATATAGCTGTGGAATTAAAACATGAAACTTTAGATGTCTGAATCTATGTTTACACCAATCTAAACGTCAGAGTCGTACGCGAATGCCTTCTGCCCACCATCAGATTTGCTAATAAGAACTTCACAGTGCTCTTAATACAAAAGTATTTTGCACACACCCTGATGACTAGACAAAGTAGTCTTAGAAAGAGCAGCAACATTATTTTGGGGGCTAGCAATACATTTCTAGTTCTACGTGGATATATATGATTGTATAATCTATTTTCATTTCCGGTGCCATTATCCGATCTTTTGCTAAGATCTGCTTTTGCCTAAGTGTGATGATTTTCACGCGCATAAAAACCGCGTCTGCATCAAGAGGCGAACAGTGGTTGCACATTTTCTGCCGTGATCAGCAGAACTTTCGCGCACACTATGGCAATATATACGTTCTGGCTCAATTTTTATCCTTGGTTTAATTTTTTTTTTCTTTTTGGGTTTGGCAATGCATGATAACGAGTTTGAAACAAAAGAAAATAAAATTTAAACCAAATGATAAAGTTGAACCACAATATATGTATATATATCAAGTCAGCTCAAGGAAATTAAGGCATGGGTCTTTTTTTCCTCAAAAGTTGAGCCGGTGGTCTATATTTCGAGCATTAAGGCCTATAGCGGCAAAACTTGAGTAAAATAATGACTGTCAAAAGTTTATGCGATTCCGTTAGGTCACGTGACTTTTATTTTATCGGCCATTTTGCGAGAAAAAAGGGACTTAAATTAGAAATGGCACCAGTTCATAATAGCAGTGAATCAAAGAAATTGCAACCAAACATGTCCCCAGATGAAAGACTAAACATCTGTGCCCAGGCTTTGTTGAATAATTTATGGTAAGTGTAAATAAACGGAATTTTGTACTAGTACTTAGCCCCCTTATCAAATGATCTTCGAATTTCGTCCCTGTCTAAAAGATTAACTTAAAAGGCCTGGCCACAGAAATGATGTACCCACTAGTCCACCTTCTAGACAAGCGCTCTATCGACTGAGATTGGCTCAAGTGAACAATAGCCCTCGAGCAAATGTATTTCCAACAGGGTAGGTTAACTTTGAGCAAGCTGTTTATCGGTCCCTAGAAAGGTCGCCCCAGGACACCCGGGATGGATTTGATTTATTGTAAAGCGCCCGGGCCTCATTTGCCTGGCCGCGCTTTGATCTGGCTCAGCCACTGCGGCGCGTCGATTTCGGCCTTTTTGGATTACATCCTTCGAGTTTGTCAAAGTCTGCTGGATTCACTTCTCTAGCTGGAAAAGCTTCATCGGTTTCTATATCTGATATTATCCTATTTGTACGATCCTAGCATGTTTATTTTACTGTTGGAATTTGAATTTCGTGGAAAACGTTGTGTTTGAAAGAGAGCTTGCGTGGCGGCCGAGATGCCATCTCGTGCCTCCAGCTTGTGTATTATATTGTGTGGAGCACGAATTTGACCAAATTATCATGAAACTTTGTTTGACTAACTGCAGAGTAAGTTTCATTGACTCAGTTATTCAGTATTTCCTGCATCTGGAACTGTCCTGTGGCCTGTAGCACAGAGCGTGGGCTACCTGTGCTTTAAACAACACTTTGTGTCGTTGATTACAAATAAATCATCGGAGGCTGACTTGCGGTTACCCTCTTTCTCTTAAACACTTCTTGAAATTTCCCTTTGCTTTGATATAAACAACCAATTTCGGGAAAGTTTTAGCAACTTTTCTTTCGACAACAGTGGAGTAGCGTAAGGCAAGTACCCAGTGAATGTCACTGCAAACTGGCGATTCTCGGCCGATGGAGTGTGCTTATATCAGCTCTATAATGACGTCATCCAATGGCACTCGTAATTTTCGGTAATTTGATCCGCTCGGGTACAAACGAAATTTTATCCCAATAGGTCCTAATAGGGCCTCAATTCTTCTAATTGATAGTAATATATAAATCAAGCCTCTCCCGTTTCTATATCAGCAATGTCAATGGTGAATGTCTACATCCTAACCAGCCTTACAAACACGCAGGATCGGAACCAAGCTCATTGAACAACCAAAATCCAGGAGTGAGGCCTCTTCTCTTCACCTACTAATAACAGTTCTAAGTTGTTTCTCTAGTTTTCCCGACCGCCTTCCCCATATCATTTTTTTTCCGTCAAAACAAACCATTTTTTTTTGTCTGCTTCAGCAGATTCGTACCCAGCCCACCGCAGTATTGAGTAAAATTACTCAAACTATTCGCCGCATGCGCAAAGCCATCCCGCGTTGCCTTCTGGGTGATCTGCTGGGGGTAAACGTTGGTCGCTACCGCTTCGACCTTCGTTTACACGTGCCAAGGAAAGGGTATTCTGCACTTTTTACTTCGAATTTTCAGTCCATTTTCTGTTTTGATCAGCTTGAAACATGAGTGAACTCGACGAAGCGGCTGTTAAAAAGCTCAAAGTTGCAGAACTGAGAGCAGAGCTTCAAAGTCGAGGCCTTGATTCGAAGGGAAATAAACCTGTTCTTGTAGAGCGATTACTGGAAGCGATTTCCAATGTCGATGATGAAAAAGCTAATGGCGAGGAACCTATGGAAGAAACTGCCGAAACATCGCAAGAAGAAGTTGCAGAAGCAAAAGAAGAAACTGCATCACAAGAAAGTCAGCTCGATGTCCAAGAAGAGGTGCCGAAACTAGAAACTGAACTAACGCAAGACAATGAAACTGCTTCGGAAAGCACCGAGGTTGTCGACGTCCCAGCTCCGGTCGAAGAGAAACCGTCTGAGGAAGCTCAGGAAACTGTCCAAGCTCCTGAACCAACACCGTCAGAAGACAAAGAATCGGAGAAAAGGGAAGATGAAGCGAAAGTCGAGGAACCGATGGAAACTAGCCAGGAAACTGCAGCGACGTCGGAAGTAAAAGAAGGTTGGTTTACTAAAATCAAGTGCTTTGAAATTAACATCTTATTTGCATAAATGTGGCTCGCGTTGATTTCTTTAAGATGGAAACTAAAACGCAGCCCTTGGCTTGGTCTGATTTTACCAGTTTTGGATAGCTCAAGTTGGGCATGTAATAAGAAAAACTCCCGCCCTTTATTTGGTCAGTTGATTGGTAGAAAGTTGTATACCAAGTCAAAAAATATGTAGATATTAAGACGGAATCCACCAGGAAATCGAGTAATTGTAATTCTCGGAGGACAAAAACCTTGTACCAGAATAATTTAAAGAATATTGCATTCATTTTTACATTTTTCAAGGGTTAGTAATTTGTCATCTGTAATAACACCAAAGAATATTTCGCGTGGGAGTCCAAGAAAATGAATGTCAAATTTCACAAGAATTGTGAAAACACCGGTAAAATTCTTTGGTGGTATTACAGATGACTAACAATAATTATTACATCTTAAGTCCTTGCAAAATGTATAAAAGAATGCAATATACTTTAAATAACTCTGGTACAAGGGTTTTGTCCACTGAAAATTAAAATTACTCAATTCCCTTTTGGATTCTGTCATAAGGTTAAGTTCATATCATACAGTAATAGTTTTGTTATTTTCTAGCTTGTTCCTTGGTGTGTTTACACTTTGTTAATAATTTAAAAGCAACATGCAACAAAATGATGGTTGAAGTTAGCAGTTACTCTCGTTCCAATAGTGTACAGGAGATTTGTTAGATTATTATCAATATTCAATTTAAGTACCTATCAATGTTAATCTGGAGGGAGGTGGGGAGACCGGGCATTAGAACTTGAAGCATTTTTTTGGGTCCAATTCCCTGCCCCAGTGACATCATATTTGGTCAAAAGAGAACAAATTCCCAACCCCTCAAATTAAGGGTAGAGGTCAAATGTGTGTTATTGAAGGTAGAAACATACCAACATTTTTAGGAAGCTGCATCTGTTTATTTTAACAGTTGTCTTTAAAATAGTTTCAAGTGCTTTTTTTTCTCTCAAAATTGGTTTACAACGTTGTTGTTAATGTTAAAGCAAAATGGTTTAGCTGAGAAAAGTTTTACATTCAAATATATTATTGAAGTGAGCTACCGGTACTCTTGGGCTGAAATACAAGCCATTACCATTATTATTTCAGCAGCTGTCTGCCTGGACTTTAGCACATTTGTGCTAGGAGGGTCTGAAAGGGGGTTTTCCATGAACCATGAATGCCTATTTTTAATCACTGTGGATTGTAAACAAAGTAATGTATTTCCGGTGATCTGCAAACGAAAGTAATCCTGTGATTTGTGAAACAACTAATTTAGTTCTGAAGAGTCATGAACATGGTCTATAACTGGCTAACGTTTGGGAAATATTCAACCTAAACTTTTGAGGAACTTAAGTCAACAAAGATCAACATAATGCCATGCTTGTGCACTACCAGTTCTAGATGTGCAGACTTCTTGAAAGTGCCTATGTTGATGAATATGACAGAGGGATTGTGTTTGCAGACATAGCAATATGGGAGAAAAATAAGATCAATCACTGAATTGTGCGTGATTCATGAACAGGCTGTTTTAGTTCCCGGGAACCATGCACAGCACACCTCTTTCCGACTCTCTACAAGTAAGCATAATGAGTTACTTTCCTGGCAGGAAAATGTACTTGTCATGGATGAATGGACAGACTTTTTTCTAGTTCTGACATACAGCATTGTTTGTTTTTGGCCTGGCTATGTAAAACTTTAATATACATGTAAACTATAATACAAATGCAAAATGAAGAAAATTAAGTTGTAACTCAGAGTTTCATGCACCAAGCATCATCATCATTATCATCATGATGATCGTCATAACTATATCACTGATCTTATCAAGCCTTATACACCTGGTAGACTTCTTAGATCCTCTAATCAATAACAGTTATTGTTACTTTCTACAGCAAAATTTAATCTTAACACTTATGGTGGCCTGTCTTCTACTATTGCTGCATCCTCTGTTTGGAATGTACTTCCATTCGAGCTTAGATCTTGTAATTCTCTTTCTTCTTTTAAATCTAAGCCTTAGACTTGGATTTTTAAAGTTTCTTATGTGTTGTCTTAAAAAATGATGATTTTTTTTTATTTTTTTTTTTATTTTTTATTTTTTTATTTATTTATTTATTTTTTGCCTTACAGACATATATTACATGTTTACAGTACTAAACACTACTGAAACTAAATACTACTAACAATATTCACTATACTTGCACTATTTACAATATTGGCTATACTGACAATACCATCCATACGATGCTCGTACTACTAATAATTACAATGGTTACACTACTTACAATTCTAGTACATCGCACGCACACACACACCCACATAAACACACAAAAACAAAAAAAAAAAAAGGTCAGAGGAGTTACTTTTCATGTCTATTTTATAGCTTTTCAATTCTGTATTTAATTATCATTTTACCAACGAAGTCTTGGAGGAGAATTGGTTTGTTGTGTAGTTTGTTGGCGTAGATGTAGTATCTCATAAACAACATGGTATAATTGAATTTCCTTACTAGTACCTTTTCATGTAAGTCCGAGAGGATGCCGAACAGTCTTTCTTCGCTAGATGGGTTGAAATTGATCTTGTTTTCTATATTGAAC